TGATGAATTGTCATACTCTTAAGTTTGCATCAGCTTCCAACATTTTATCCTTTGTGCTTTCAGTGTCATGAAATATCTCTATTTACTTTAATGTGAAGTTTTTTGCCTGTCATTTCCTCTAGACATCTTTATCCTTTTCGTAACAATTGCTTTTCTCATTTGTCAGTAAGTTTGCCTCTCCCGAGTTCCTCTGGCATGCCTAGGGTCTCTTGAATGGTGACAATTTCAACATTCCCACTATCAGCTATTCTTCTATAAACTACATTTACATTTCATTCTAATGTCACTTCTAGTGTTAATCACTTTTCATTTCTTTGCTCACCTTCCTCTTTGTTGGCCAGTTCTGTCTTTTGATTATCCATTTTTCTAAAATGTCTTGTGGCAGCACAAATACGTGTTTTACTGTCTGTGTGTGAACTAATAACAAATGCACAGTCACTGATTGGTCACTGATCATGATGCGTATTTGTTACTTATATAGTATTTTGTGAACTGAAAAGCTAGCTGTTAAGTTTTTTCTTTATGCACTTACTCACAGTTAATATAATGTGGTAAATTTGAACCATGTTGTTAAGTGACTGGTGTTATTATTTAACTAAACTGTGGTAACTGACATTTGTGCCTATCGGACCCACATACAGCAAGGACATCACCACTGAAAATCTATCAGGTAAGCCAGATCACAAAAGCTGGTTCAGATACAAAGATTGTTTTCACTGTTACCTCAGCGAGCAAGTAAGGAAAAGATATAAAATCAAAGATACATGGGAGGCAGTGGGCTCCCCTCCCACAAAGTGTTTCTGTAGTTTGGTGATCGCAGCAGCCCACTGGGCATGCTGCATTTATCCCTTTTGTTAGGAATGCTATTGTGAACTAGAGAGGCAAAATAAATTGTTCAAGTTTTCACAGCTAGTTAATGGCAGCATAGCACTAAAGGTTAGTTCTTTTGATACGTGGTTCTGGCATTCTTTTATCACATTTCCTTCTTCTCACCCCCTTCAGACACAGACACATCCTGTTTCTCCTGTATGACAGGCTATGAGAAAATGTGGTCTTGGGAACTTTTTGTTCTTAGAGATGCCCTTACTCTAGTTATAATACCTCAAAAGTCAAACCAATAAGACTTTCATTGCTCTTACTTTTAGTGTGGACAGGAACAATCTTGTACCTCTGTAGCTTTTTGGACAAGGGGAGCCCTCAACCAGAATGCATACATCAGCTAACATGGCAAGATGAAAAATTCTTTAAGCTTCTCCTAGATTCTAACAGAACACACTTCCCATATCAGTTGCAGCTCCCAAACTGCACTACGATGTTTTCTCTTACATAATGAAGGCTTTGACCATCACTGCTACTTTGAAAATCAAAGCCTTTTGGTCTCTAATGGAATGTTTACAAAAAATACTCCATTTTGAAATTTGCTCAGGAAAAGGAAGTGTAGTAAATGATGTTAGAAATCCCTCCGGCTTGCCTTGGCATTGATTCATTTAATGTTATGTACTTTGGAAACATCCAGAGTTAGTGCGAATAACAGATTATTAAAACCCAAATTAAATAAACTCTTATCCTCATTGTCTTCTTCCTTGGAAGGATAGCATCATATGTGTCCCTGATTGTTGTTTCTATATGATCAAGTAAATTGCCCTTTCCAAATTTAATATATAGGTATCTAGGGTAAGCTGAAAATCCCTAATACCTATCTCAGAAATTCCATCTGGTTGCATTCTTTTGCTAAGGTGAAAGTGGAAGTTCTTTTGGTTGGAGCAGTGTAGAGCAGCAAGCCTGAATTAAAAAAACCAACTGTATTGTGTATATGTCATTCTCTTTTGTTTTCCTTGGGTCAGTGAAAAGAAAGAAAATAAACAGTCAAATGTATGAAACACTTAATTTAGTAATACAGTGACTCATAACTCAAAGATGTAAAAGCTGCCCGAGGACCTTGGCTTATCCGGTTGGCTCTGCCTTGATGTAAGGCATTGATGTATCTTAAAGTAAGAAAATAACATTTATTCAAGAAATATTTAATGAGGGACTGCTGTATACCAGGAATTGTTCTAGGGAGCTTGCAGTAAATATAAGATGGTCGTACTCCCTGCTTTCCTGGAGCTTATACTCCGATGGGGAAGAGAAAGACAGAAAACAAATAAAATACATGAATTGATTAATTGATCAGTTCCATGGCTTTCACTATACATTTTCGTTAGTTGCCCACCAGCACAGATCCCTTATTAGCATGGTAAAAAGGTCTGATCACTCAAAGTATTATAGACTTGTAAAGTATTGCAATAGAACTTTGGGGAATTGAGGGCAGTGACCTTTTAGAAAACACCCAGCTCCATCAGTGACTTCTGCTTGCTCTTGGCTCTCATATTTTCCTCTCATATACTCTGTTGCTAGCCTTTGTTGTTAGTTCTCATGGACTTCACTTTTCTCTCTAAGTAACATAAAAAATACAGTTAGGGCTATCATTTTGACTTCAACTCAGAACTGTTTCTTTTAAAAACATTATTTAAAAAAAATTAGGGACAAATGTAGCATCTTAAAATGACATTATGTTTGAAATTCCAGGCTAAAACTTGAAATAGAAGCTGCTAATATTTTGGGAAGCATTTCTTATTTGTTACTAGTCTTCCTTATGTAAGGCTCTGAGTTCTTAAGGACATCCTTTGGTAGCAGCTGACTTACTATCTAGTAAGATTCTTTGATTTTAAATTTTTTTATTATTTTCATCTGAGGGTACCTTCATTATAAAAATTGCACTTAAGCAAAGACAAATTTTATCTTAGCAAATTTAAGGCTGCCACTTTTGCTGTTTGCATTAAATAAACATACTACACAGTTTTTCCATTTAAAAATATATGAGTTATTTCGTTATGTTAGAGTAGTTACAATCAAGAGCTCACAAACATTTTTGCTGAATGCACTTAAGGATCTTTGTCCACTTTTTAAAATTTGTTTGTGGAAACTACAGCTGTGTCAAATGCTACATTTACAAACCAAAACTCTTTTCTTTAACAAAGAGGGAAAAACTCCCTTCATTCATTTAACCAGATACTCGTAATAGTAAACTTTGTTGTTAAAACAGGGAAGTTTATTATTGTAGCTGCTGTTTTTGTTATACCTATGGTTTTTACTTTTTTTTTTAGAGGTTGAAGGGCGTGTGCTCTTTCTGGGAGTTCAGTTAATTGCAGTGAGTAGATCAATATTCAGTAACATGTCTTTAAAGGCCCTTTTAACCCTAAGATTTTATGAATGTATATTTACCTTTGCCCCTGCTTTTTTCCATTAGTGACAAGAGGAGGGATCGTGTCGGGAGTGAGCTGCAGACTGCATTGGGCTACAGCTTAGGAGGAGGTGGTGGGCATTGAGTGCTAGTCATAGAATATATAGTGGTTAACTCTAAGAGGAGCAGTTACTGTTGGTTCCTTCTCCTTTATAGTTTTCTTTAATACTTAGTACATTTTCTTAACTGTAATTGTTTTTAAAATTAGGGAAAAAAGAAAGAAAAAGATAAACCCATAGATAAAAACAATTTTTAGAAGTCAGCTTCTCAAGTACCTTTCTCCCAACAGACAATCCCTGAATTCTTCAAAATGGGTCAGTATTTAAGTCATCAAACAGATGATTAAGGGGTTGGCCCCACGGCCAAGTGGTTAAAGTTCCACGCACTCTGCTTTGGTGGCCTGGGGTTCCTAGGTTCGGATTCTGGGTGCGGACCTGCTCCACTCATCAGCCATGCTGTACAGGCATTCCACATACAAAGTAGAGTAAGATTGGCACAGATTTTAGCTCAGGGCTAATCTTCCTTAAGCAAAAAAATGAGGAGGATTGGCAACGGATGTTAGCTCAGGGTGAATCTTCCTCTCACACACACACAAAAAGATGATTAAGAAAAGACTCTTTAAAAGAACTTTTGTGGAGAGAAGTTATTTTACATGGGGTTATAACATAAGGCTCATGTTTATTGTCTCATAAGAAGCATTTTCCTGAAAAATGGAATTTTCCTTGGTGGTCAATTAGAATTTGAGGTGGACATTTTATGTTCCTTGGACCTGGGACAGTCTTGTTGATCTTTGTATTCCCCAGCTCCACATATACCACCAGCCCATAGTAGGTGCTCAAGAATTATTTTCTCAGCTGAACCCAGTATTTGTTTTTAAGGGAATAATGAAAAGAAGATAATCGCAAGTAAAAGGAGTGAGTTTTTGATATATTCTTTTTCAGTTACTCTCCAAAATGTTCTTTTTCAGAAAATGTGAAAATGTTCCTATGTATAATATATTGGAATCACAAGCACTGACTTTGTATTTCAAAGTTGGAAGAAATGAGATTGATGTCTCATACAGTTGTAAAATGCCAAAAATAAGTAGAGCTGAAATGAATTAAAGCACAGTGTTCAGAAAGGCCAAGTAAAAGCTTCAGATCAAGGGTGGCTATAATTGAAAGGGTCCAAATAAGTATTTAAAACCACCCCTGCTGGAACTGCTAAGATTTCTGAATTTCAAATTGGCATTTTATGTTTGACAAGGTGACATTGTATAAGAAATGTATTGTAAAACACTGCTGTACGATAGGAAAATGATTGAATGTAAATATTTCAAGATGTGGACCACTGTTCAAATGTTATCATAAATCTTTGCCATTGTTTTAGGGGATAACTCTTCATGCATATATGAGCTGAATTGATAGAGCTAGCTTTTGTAAGGGAAATCATTAGCGAGTTTCTGCCTCTCTGCTACCAGTAGTCTGATTTGACCACAAAAGTATTCTGTTAGATCTTTGCCATTATTATCATATGCTTATTATTATATAAGTGAGGAAGTATATTATCTTTTTGAAGATACTTCATCTGGCCTTGCTTTTGTCCTGTTTGTTGAATGGTCTGAAATGTCACTGTTAGATGAAATTTGAATGGGCTGAGACAATTTGCACTCTTAAACTTCAAAAAGGAGAGAGAAAAGCTTGAACTGTAAGTTTAACTATCCTTCCATTCCTTGCAGGTTTGGAAGGTTTACAGTAGCTGCTCTTCAGTCCAAAGTAGAACAATATGAACGTGAAACCAATCGCCTCAAGAAAGCCCTGGAACGAAGTGATAAGTATATAGAGGAATTAGAATCTCAAATTGCACAGCTAAAAAATTCAAGTGAAGAGAAGGAAGCTATGAATTCCATTTGCCAGAGAACACTTTCTACAGATGGCAAGGGGAGCAAATGTAGCGAGGAGGATATGGCATCAAAGAATCAAGGTGATGGTGCCAGAAAGCAGCTTGGCTCATCCACCTCGAGTTCTCACCTGGCAAAGCCTTCTAGCAGTTCTGCCAGACAGGAAGGCATCAGCAAAACAGAACCAAATTGTTCTAAGAACAAAGACCTATATCAAAAACAAGTGGAAATAATGTTAGATGTGACAGATACAAGTATGGATACTTATTTGGAAAGAGAATGGGGTAATAAGCCAAGTGACTGTGTCCCCTACAAAGATGAAGAACTTTATGATCTTCCAGCTCCTTGTACTCCGTTGTCCCTGAGTTGCCTTCAGCTCAGTACTCCAGAAAACAGAGAGAGCTCTGTGGTCAAAGCAGGAGGCTCCAAAAAGCACTCAAACCATCTCAGAAAATTGGTGTTTGATGATTTTTGTGATTCTTCAAGTGTTTGTAATAAAGATTCTTCAGAAGATGATAGAAGTGAAAATGAAAAGAAATCAGACTGTTTTACTTCCCCAAAGACAGGATTTTGGGATTGTTGTTCCACAAGCTATGCCCAAAGCTTGGATTTTGAAAGCTCAGAGGGGAACACAATAGCAAATTCTGTTGGAGAAATTTCTTCAAAATTGAGTGAGAAATCAGGCTCATGTTTATCCAAGAGGTTGAATTCTATTCGCTCTTTTGAAATGAATCGGACAAGAACATCCAGCGAAGCATCAATGGACGCAGCTTACCTTGACAAAATCTCTGAGTTGGATTCAATGATGTCAGAGTCAGACAACAGCAAGAGTCCTTGCAATAACGGTTTTAAGTCGGTGGATTTGGATGGTTTATCCAAGTCGTCTCAAGGCAGTGAATTTCTTGAGGAATCAGATAAGTTGGAAGAAAGAACTAAGCCAAACCTTTCCAAAGGTTCTCTAACTACTGATCAGTTAGAAAATGGAAATGAATGGAAACCCACTTCTTTTTTTCTCCTCTCTCCCTCTGACCAAGAAATGAATGAAGATTTTTCACTCCATCCCAGTTCTAACCCAGGAACTAATGAAATCAAACCCCCAAGCTGTTTGTTTCAGACTGAGTTTTCCCAGGGTGTTTTGTTAAGCAGTTCACACCGGCTATTTGAAGATCAAAGGTTTGGGTCATCTTTGTTTAAGATGTCCTCAGAGATGCATGGTCTTCATAACCAGCTTCAGTCTCCTTGGTCTACTTCCTTTGTGCCTGAAAAGAGGAATAAAAATGTGAATCAATCAACAAAAAGAAAAATCCAGAGCAGTCTTTCCAATGCCAGCCCATCAAAAGCAACTAAAAGTTGACTCATTAGAAAGCTGTCATTTATGTTTTTTGTCCTGAGAGGAATATAAGTTTTTAAAGTTACTGTTTTCCCCTCATAAAAGTTCTGTACAATTTTGAATTGAGTGTCAAATCAGAATGGTGGATTATCCTGTTCCCAGAATACTTCTGTTCATTTTGAAGAGTTCTTTTTCATTTGGGGGTCTTTTTGACCAGAAAGGATAGGGAGAGGGTTTCTTTTTAATAGTATATGTGTCTGGTTTGGTATGTTATGTTTTCTTGAATCTTGATTTAACTGTTAGATACAATGGCCTGTTAATGAGCCTCAGTTGTCTTCAGGACTTGGATTTCTTAAATAAAACTTTAGTGTTGTCTACACATGCTCATAAGACACTTGAGTTTCTTTAAAGCTTTTCCTGGAGTGGAAATTATTTTGCCTGGCCCTTTTTATTTATATTTAGTTATGGCCTAACTTTTATGCAAGGCGGTGGTGGAGAAATAGCACTCTAACCTTACTCCAGTATTCATTTACGTTTTTCTAGATTTTATGCATTTTTAACATTTGTCCAGTTTTTGTGAAAATTCATATTTTGCTGGTATGAAAGAATACATTTTCTATATGAAAATATTTGTTTTATGTCAGGTAGCTTTCATTTGTTTATCTTTTTGTGTGTGTTAACAATCAGAATTTGAGCCTACTTGGGAAGGAAGGCATAGAACGGTTGGGTCTGGAGAAGCCTAAACGTGGTAGCTGCATTGTTCTGGATATGCAGGTGCAGAAGCGCTCATTGCCAAGTTCTTGATCCACTCACACGCCTGGGAAGCTTGTTTTTGGAGTGATGAAGTTCTTGTTTGCATGTTACTGTCCTTTGTGGAAACTCTGTGTGCATGGTGGTAGCATTCTTGCTTGCACTGTTTTCCTTACTTAAGAAAAAGAAGTTTCAGTTGGCTAATAGAATATCTTTTATGTAGGACAAAATTTTTTTTTCATGAAGTGTTGACGAGGTGAGAGTAGGTGAGCTAAGCACAATTTTTAATTTAGGCTTTGAAAAAGTATATTATTCTAAACATGTTTGGTGTGCCTATATGGGCCTTTAAAAATGGTTTGTATGCTAATGACTTGTTTATCTAATGTGCACTGAACATTTTACATTAATACTGTACTGTCTTACATTAATACTGCATGCTTTTCTATGTGAATTGAATAAAAGATGTCATAAGCACTGTAATTCTTGATGTTGTCTTGCTATTGAATTAGCCTATAAAGACAAGTAAACCTTATCATTTTTAATTGATCTTATGGGGGGTTGACAAACTGTGGCGTATGGACCAAATCTGGACTGCACCTGTTTTTGTGAAAGTCCTGTGAACTAGAAATGGTTTCTACATTTTTTAGTGGTTTTTAAAAATCCAGAGAATATTTTGTGACACAGGAAAATGATAAGTTCAAATTTCAGTGTTTCTAAGTAAAGTCTTAGAACCCAGCTACAGTCATTTGTTTACATGTTATCTCTGGCTGCTTCTGCCCTGCAACGGCAGAGTTAAATAGTTGTGACAGAGACCACATGGCCCACAAAGCCTAAAATATTTACTGTTTGGCCTTTTACAGAAAAATTTGCTGACCCCTGTTATAATAGACTCTAAGGATTCAACAAAACCATAGAAGTATAACAAGTCACTTTTGTGATTTGGAGAATCATGTCCTCCACTTTGAAAAGTAGTAAGAGCCAAAAATTCCCCTAGTTATAAAGCATAATTTTTGTTTTATCATATATATTTTCCAATAAGTATTAGTATGTTGTCTTCTCTTTCTGATATGTTAAAGCTAATGGATACCTTCAGAGATTTTAGCAGTTTATCTTTGACAGTGTAGTTATACATTTGAAATGCTATTAAGGGTAAAAATCTAAAATTTTTCTGAACTAATGGAGTAAATCTAGGTGTGAGCTTCACTCTTATTCTGTCTGTAATTCTTCTTTACCAAGAATGTGTCGGTTTGTAATCTAAATATGTACTGGCACTCTTCCATGGAAATCCAGAGTGTTAACATGATTTACTAATGCCTGACCGGAGTGAGAGTGCCTAGATTGGAGCAGCATGTTTCCCAGGTGCTTCAGAGACACTAATCCATCCTTCCCAACACAGGACTTCATATATTAAATTAAACCTATGAATTCCTCAGTTGAAGGGAATAATTTGTGCAGGGTCTGATTTTAATCATACATTCTCATTTGTACTCTTTACCATAATCTGTTATGTCATGTCAAGTATGATGGTCTCACATATTTTTAATTGTCTATTATATACACACTTTAAAAAAAACAAAAACTGCTTTTTATTGAAACTAAGTACTTTCCTAACCTGTATCTCATCTAATCCTTTTTTCAAACTGTGTGAGACAAGAACTGTCATACCTAGTTTACAAACAAGTGTGTTGAGCATTAGTGGTCACACAGCTGGAATGGAATAGAACCATGTCTTGGAGCTGGGCCTCTCACTCCAGAGTTTGTACCCTTCCTCCTCCATGCATGGGAGTTCACATTTGTAGGCCAAAGAATGAATGGCTTTGAAATTTCCAAGGGTTCTTTTTAAAATAGTAGTTTGGAAATATTAGCATGTTTCTTTTCAAGTAGCACTTAATTCCTGCCTATGTTCCTGGATCTAACTCTACTACTAAGTGGAAGCTCAATGATGGGAGTTGTGTGTGTGTGCCACTTTTAATTTTATAAAGATTCACATTAACTCTTGAGATTTAGATGAATTTAAAAATAGCACTAGGGGCCAGCCCAGTGGCAGTGGTTAAGTTCGCATGTTCTGCTTCGGCAACCCGGGGTTTGCCAGTTTGGATCCCGAGTGTGGACCTACCTACCACTTTCAAGCCATGCTGTGGCAGGCATCCCACATATAAAGCAGAGGAAGATGGGTACGGATGTTAGCTCAGGGCCAGTCTTCCTCAGCAAAAAGAGGATTGGCGGCAGTTGTTAGCTTAGGGCTAATCTTCCTCAAAAAAAAAAAAAAAATCCCCACTAAATCTGTTGGAAAAAGATGCACTAGTGATAAAGGAAGTAGACACTTATCAGTTCATGTCTGTATAAAAACCATCTTGTCTGACTGTTCATCTTTCTAAAATACTATGGCTAAGGAAATGTGACAAGATGCTAGGTTTTTTTTTCTGACATGACCTTTGGTGTTCATCTTCTAATTTTCAAAATCTTCCCATCCAAAATGTCTTTTTCCTCTTCTAATGGATCAACAGACTAAAACAAAATGGTAGACTAAGATTTACAGTCCCTTAATATCAAATCTGCTGTGTTTTCCTGAAGTCTCATACTTACGTTGGTTTGAAACAACTAGAGGTACCACTGAACAAAGAAAGAACTTTGGTCTTGAACTCTAAGATGTTTGAGAAACTTCTTGTTTCCTTATACTTGAATGAGTTTCAATTATTTAAAGTGTAATACAGGCACTAGATTTTTTCCCCCCTTGCTTTTGTGTGTGTGAGTGAGATTTGTAGAGAACATCAAACTGAGATTAACAGTTGAATTTTATGGAGTGTGGCCTATTAGATTAGAAGGGTTTCCCAAACCTCATAAGACCCTTCATTCTTATTGGTGGGAGTCCTAACAGCACAGTCTTTGCCTATCGTGATGTAACTCGAGCTTTTAATCATACTTGGCAGAGAGAAAAACCTTTTAAGCAATGATCTCAGAGTGCATAGTGAACATTTATTGCCTAATTCTCGGAACCCCACTCTGACTGAGGAAGCATCTATTAAGATGCAGATTTAAGAACCCATCTGGAGCCCAGGCTAGGGTGATCTTCAGTTTTATATGAGAGAGGCAGTCTAGAATACTTTGAACTGAAGCTCTACTTTTTGAAATAAGGTAGACTCCTTGCTCTGCTGTGTCTTAGGGAGCAGACTTCTCTAATAAATGTTAGTTGGATTAACCAAGTGTGTGCCTTGTGTGACACTTGTAGTTTGGAGGTGTTAAGATCTACTCCCTGAGGGCAAGGATTTGATATAGGCTTTTATTGAGACTGTGACAGGAGGGAGGACCTAGTTCTGGTCCATTTTGATTCTTACAGCATTGGTGAGTAGAAGTGTCCCTGTTGGGGATAGCGTGAAGCAGAAAGGAAACCAGGCGTCTTCACGGAGGTGCCATTTGTATTGGGTCTTTAAGGATGAATAAGAGTTCGGTGCGGAAGAGGACTTCTCTTTTGAGTGTCTGCTATCCTGGAAGGAGCGCCTATTCAGCGGATGTCTCAGAAGAGATGCTGAAGAAACCATTCCCTAACGGCAGGGCTCCTGGTTGAGAAAGGTTTCCCGGTTGCTCCAGCCTGAGCTTCCCAGTTTGGCTTTGCTCTGCCTCCTCTCTGAACGTTCCTCAAGACTCTAGGCTCTCCGTCGCTGCCAGGGCCGGCGGCTTCATGGCGAGACGGTGACTCCCTGGGCGCTGGAAGGCTCAGGAGGTGGCAGGGCTGGCCCATCATCTGTCCATTAAGCCGAACCTTGGCGCTCCGAGGGCCAGAAGGCGCGACCTCGCCACACTCACAGGGTCATCTTCGTGCTAGGGGTGGGGAGGTGAGGTCTGGCCCGCCAGCCTCGGCTCTGAGTCCCCTTTCCTCCCTCTGATTCCAGCGAACCCCCTAGCCTTCCGGGATTCCCTCAGCCAGTGCGGCTCTCCCCTCCACCTCCCCCACCCCCAGGTCTCCCGGGAAGACAGAGTCGCCGGTGCCCATCCGGCCGGAGTTTCCCGCGCTCTTGAGGGCGCCCTCAGCTGGTCCCGCCCGGGCCCCGGCCGCAGAAAAGACCTGCTCTGCGATTTCCTCTCATTTTATTACCGCTCGCGTAACCTGGCGATTAAGACGCGAAACCAACAAAAGAGTTTTCTTTCCACCTTAACCTTGCACACAATCCTTTAACAAATTAATTAATCCTAATGAATTAACACTTCATTTATTTAAACGCGCTACAGTCCATGAATTAAATTTTCATGCAGTGATTAAAGGCTGTTAAAATATGCATGATTTCGTTAAAATTTTATAATAAATCAGGGCAATGTGTTACATGACAAGGCAACTATTTCCCAGTCCCTCGAAAGGGGCTTTGATTTGCGCGGGCGGCGGGGTGGAGGGGTGGCTGGCGGCGGCGCCGGCGAGCGCTGGAGCCGGGCGACAGGACCCAGCTCCGCACTCTGGCATTTGGACTCGCGGCTTCGCGCTTTCCTCCGCGGCTTCTGGACCCTCTTGGGGATCCTGCTCCTGCCGGCAGAGCTGAGCCTGCGGAGAGCGACCGGCGCCTGCCTCTCGGTCCTCGGAACTGCACTCGTGGGGGGATGGGGGTCCTCTGCTGTGCATTTGCGCCAGCGGAGCTCCCTCCAACCTAGGCTTGCGTGCGTCCCGGACGGAGCCGCGGGCACGCGGCTATCTGCGGAGAGGGAAGGCGACAGAACTTCCATCTCATCGCGTGGGGTCACCGGCGGGCGCGTCTGTCGTAGAGTTGGTTTGTTCTTTGTTGTTTTTCACCTGGAAACCTTGAAACCCCGCCTCTGAGCAGCGCGCTCTTCCAGTTTTGAAGGGGCCTGGGCGGGGCGGGAGCAGCTCTGCTCCTCTTGGGACCTAAACCACAGAGGCCCGTGGCCATGTTTTAGTGCTACAACATTGTTCACGTGGACAGCGAAACTGGTTCTGGCAACCAGTGGGCGGGGGAGGCAGTGCCCCCGTTAGGACCGAGACCTAGTTGTCCTGCCCCACCCGTAGGGCTTTCACAAGTTGGGCGGGTTTTAAGTCCACAGAGAGAGTAGGGTGGAGATACACACATAGATCTCTATTTATGTAACGCCCAGAGGGATGATGACCCGCAGTGAACTTTACTGGGAGCATCATTCGGGTCGGAAGGGTATAAGCGACATGCGACATGGTCGACATCGAGGAAAATGTTCCCAACGGGAGTTGCATTTGAATTAAACAGCCAGAAGAAAGAAAACAGTGAGTTTTCCACTGGATTACTCAAGAACCTCTTCCGCGGGTTCCAGCTGGAACCCAGTCTGAATGTGGGGCCGAGAGCCTTACAGGAGGACATCCCTACGGGCCTCAATAACCCACCCACCCCGGCCTTGGGGACCAAGGGAGACCAGCGGCCCCGGATCCTGGCAGGGCGGGGTGGAAAAGGAGGACAGTGGCCTCCAGGAAATCTCCGAGCTCCGGCCAGCGAAAGTGTGGCTCTGGGCTCCCCGATTTGGGCTGAGCTGGGCCCTGGGTGGTGGCAGAGGGCAGAGCCATTGCCCAGGACCGGGCGGGGTGGGCGCCGCGGCTTCGATTGCTGCTTGGGGAGGTCTGAGGGCCCCTGGCAGGGCCAGCGAGGAGCCCAGTCCCCTCACCGCGGGAGGGACAGGCTGGGAAGCGCGAGGGGTAGCGCTAAGAGAGAGAGAAGTCTGCCAGGAGGGGAAGGGACAGTACTGCACCCGTCCCATCCTTTGGACAGAGAGTGTTCAAGCAAGAGGGCGCTGGGACCGCCCAAGTGAGCCCCTCTTCCAAGAACCGACCCTCAGCTCTGGGCCTGCTTCTCGCCTGCCTGTCCCTTCGCCCTGCTTAGAACAGCCCGCGTGGCCTCTAGAGCCGCGGCTCAGGGCGCTGGGGGCTTGCCATGCACGCGGGCCGCCAGCTCCGCGGTGAGTGTGCCTAGTTTCAAACCCGGCGGCTGCCTGCGGGAAACGTGCCGCCCCGAGCCTGGCAGGAGCAGAGCTCCCGCTTGGGCCACCAGAGCCCAAGGCGGCCGGGCCTGCAGGTAGGGCCAGATCCTCGGGTTCGGGAAGGAAGGTGGGCCCGATCTCCTCCACCTGCATACACACAACCTCCATGTACTTAAGTGGACATTCCTTAGGGCCAAACCCCTGTCCCTGAATCCGCACAAATAACTCGGTTCAATTCCGGGAGGCGGGGTGCGTGTAGGTAGCCGCTGCTCAGTCCAGCGCTAGCTTTCCCAGCGCCCCTTTGGCAGGAGAAAGGCTGCGCGAGCCGGCAGCAGCCGTCAGGCGCGCTCTCCCCAGCTGTGGAGGGGGTGGTTGGTCAAAGGCGAGGAGTGGTCACCCCCAACAGTGCCGGCCCTTGCACTGTCTCATAGGCCCTCACTCCGACCAAGGAATGTCTCTGCTCCTTGAGCTCGAGAAAGAGGCACTGCCGAAGGAAATGTGAAGTGGGGCCTGCCAAAGGAGGAGGAGAAAATTAATTAATGAGGGAAAGAAATGTGTCTCTGATCCAGATGATATACTCCCTATCCCTGGGGGCGGAAATTCCTTGGAAATCAATAGCTGTGCATTCATTATTCCCCTCTTGATAAAATGCAAAGCTATGAGATGAAGGGAGGGGGGAAATCTGTGTTGGTCATTAAGCAAGAAGAAGGAGAAAAAAAAACCTGCCCAGGAATCTATGCCAAGGCTCAGACCCCATGTGGGCATCATTAGCACAGGCAGGGGCCAACTAGTTACTGCACTTGCCAAACCCAGAAAACAAAGCAGTGACATATTGGTGGGCCGGAGCCTGGTCCACTACCCTTTCCTTTCACTGCCTTGGGGTACTTAGGGAAAGGCTTGATAAGGTCCAAGAAACTGCCAGCAGATCTGACACTGTGCCCCACTTTTTGGCCTGGGGCTGATCCCAGCAGGGATGTTGCAGGATAACTCTCCAAGCATGGCCTCCACCCCACATTCTGTACAACTCCTTCTCATCCCACCTGTCACACTTGTACCATAAACACCTCTTCACCTGTATCTGCTCCACTCTCAGAGACTGCCACCTCCTGGAGGGCAGATATTTTATACCTCGTTTGATCTCCAGTGTCTCACCTTGGCCCAGACTGGTGCTCAGCAAGGATGTGAGGTAGAGAGGCAAGGTACAAAGTTAATGAGGTAGGGATGAAATAACTGACCTCCAAAAAAGAAAAGGCTGGAATCAAGATTTACAGCTCTGCATGGGAACAGCATACCCTCTGGCCCAGTCTCCATCTCCTTTTTAGGGAGAGAGGAGTCTCCTGCTTGCCCCCAATTAGCCCTGGCTTGTTGGACTGTTTCTGGCTTTTGCTCCTGGCCCCTGGCCCTCCCCATCTGGCTTCTCCTGCGTTCTAGACACATATTGCTTTATAGAGCATTTTTACTCTGTGGCAAACACTTTGTTAAGCGTCATAGTGGACACAGGTGTGCCCTAAATGGGCTTCGAATCCATGGAGGGAGGGCGGTGAGGGGATTGTATCCACAGCCTTCATATATCTAGACCCAGGAAAAGCGAGATATTCTGGGCAAAAGTCTGGCCCCACCCCAAGGTAGGCAGGGACTCCAGTCGTCCAAAGAGAGGTAAGCTAGGAGAAGAGTCTCCGTGCTTTCCAGAATTGGAGGGTAAACCGAGTGAGCTTCCGGTACTCAGGGGCCCACTTCGCTCTCAGGGGGTCCTCCTGGCCGCAAAACTGTGCTGTTTTCGTTTCTGTCCCCCTGCACCCTTCGGAGGTCCCCAAAGGCCAGCCTTTCTCTGGGGGGAGGGCAGGATGTAGGCGTTCGCCCTCTGCAGGGCCCTTCCTTCCTCCCGCGGGAGAGCTCAGGGAACCGCCACGATGGGTGTCAGGAAGGATTAGGTTAAGCCAGGACACCCGGTGAGACGACTACAGTAGGACTCACTCTCCCTCTCCAGCGCTGTCCTGCTCATCGTCCATTCCCCACGGAGATAAAGTTGCATTTAGCACTCCCAGGGGACCGCGTAATGGATGGAAATGCGGCTCCTTCTCGCACCAGCAAGTGAACATACTTCTTACTCCCCTCTCAGGCTGTAGCCGCGCGCAGGGCGGGGGTGGGGGTGGGGGAGTAGGGGTGGGGGGGCGTGGGGGGGGGTAGTTGGTAGACAGAGGAGAAAAGAAAGAAGAAAAAGCCAGGATGACGCCTGCGGACTCCTCTTGGAATCTGAGTAGTGAGTGGTATGCTAAATACGCACGCATTTATCCAAAGAAAAGATAAAATCCGCTAGAACGCAAACTTAGGTTTATAGAATTGAGATCTGCTACTTGGTGGAAACACAGACCTCCTTGGTGTGGGAGAGACCAGAAAGATTATTTATCTGATCTCTGCCTCCCATAAGCAGCCCCTCGCGGGTCTCCGGCTCTCTCGCCGCAGATGTGATAACATCTGGGCTGTTATTATCACCCCCGGCAGGCGCTGCGTCCCTGGGGACACAGGCACCTGAACTGTGGTTCCCCAGGAGGCCCTTGATCTGCCTGCCACATAAGGGCCATACAACGGGTTGGCTAATTGATTTATTCTTCTTCTTAGCTTTTGATTTCATAATAATAAAAGTAAATAAATAAAGGCCGGACGAGAGCTTGGGCCCATTCTTTCAAATTGGTTTGAATTAATATTTTAATCATGGTTTCCTACAAACTGGCTTGGTCCTGTCTCTTTTTGAAGGAAAAAAAATATATATGTATATATACACACACAGACAGAGATAAGAAGCAAAGAAACCAAAAGGATGGAAGGGAAAAGAAAGTTCTCTTTTCGACATTTTATTCCCTTTTCTCTGAAGCAGTTTCCTTTTCTTGGAGTTTCCAGCATATAGTGTGTGTGTGTGTGTGTGTGTGTGTGTGTGTGTACGCGCGCGCATGCTGAGAGGAGGAAAAGATCCCATCTACACCCTGTTAACTATTTTTTCCTTTTGATTACTAGAAGCCTCAGATCACCCGGAGCTCGTTTGAAATGTGGGTTTGTACACGGTTAAAGGAGACAAACAATAAGAGAAACGCACAATTTCATTTCAACAGCCGTTTCCAAGTAGGAAGCACACGCTCCTTGTGGCTCCTAAGTGGCTGTCACTGTCGGTGCCTGACACAGTTATATTCACAACAACAACAACAACAAAGTATGCGGAGGAAATGAAATTATATGGAAATCAATAGCGTCTGCCTGGTTCAAACAAATGTCTGTCACCGCGATTATTCTCCAGGAAGCTATTTATAAACCTTGAAAGAAACAGTTTCTTGCAGCAAAAGACAGCACCTTCTGCATTTCTGTGTTGTTATTTATACTGTATACAGAGGAATGCACGGGCATAATTTAACATACAAATGCCCAGTTGTGCACCTTATATAACAGCTTGTTAGACATCTTGGAGAGGAGGTGTTCCTAAGTAATGTGCATATATTCAGAGCTTGTGTTGGGGAGGGGGTAGGGAAACCACCGAGGGGCTTACGAGCATTTTATCTTTCTCTGCCTAAAAGGTGTCTACCCTCAGACAATAGCTGCCCCGTTTGATCTTTCCAGACCCAAGGTGGGAAAGGTGAGGCGTGCAATGCGCATGCCCGGGCAGCTACAGGTGCGTCACCTGCGCTGTCCTTGCTGGTGGTCACTATAAGAGCGGCTCCCACGCGCCGGTAGCGGCCTGGAGAGCGCGCGCGCGCGCAGACGCACGGCGCCGAGGAGAGGGAGAGCGCGCGTCAGACAGACGGAGACAGTTGATGCCTGTCAGCGCGGCGGGGCCGCGAGCTCTCGCGAGAGCTTCCCGGACCGGCCGCGAGAAGTGGGGCTCAGGTGTAAGAGGAGTGCATCCCGTCGGCGCGCCGGGCTAGAGCTCTCGGAGAAGTGGGATCGCAAGGCCGGTGCGCGGCGCTCTGCGCGGTCAAAGGGAGCGTCGGGCGGCAGCGGCGGCAGCAGGCGCAGCAGCAGCCCCCCGCGCGGCCGCCGCCTTCGTGCCGCTAGCCACCTCGGCAGCAGCCTCGGAAGGGAGGCCGGGGGAGTCGGCGTGCACACTTTCCCGCGGACTTTCGGAGTGTTTGTGGATTTACATGCCAAGCCATCAAGATGATGTCCATGAACAGCAAGCAGCCTCACTTTGCCATGCATCCCACCCTCCCTGAGCACAAGTACCCGTCTCTGCACTCCAGTTCCGAGGCCATCCGGCGGGCCTGCCTGCCCACGCCGCCGGTAAGCGCCCCACGCCCGCAGCCCCGGCCCGCGCGCCCGCCCCCTCCCCGTCTCCGAGACGCTGCATGTTGGGTCCTGGTGTGTGCCCAGGTCCCGGTGCGGGGATTTGCGGACAGGGAGTTTTAGAGAAATCCCGCTGCGAGGCACGTTTTATACAGTGGCGCTTAATGTTGTGTTCGCGTCGCCTCTGCCCGGGTCTCGGGCGCCTGCGATCATAGTGGGGAGCGCTGGGGCCATGACTCTCGACTTCCCTTCACTTTCTCTGTTAATTTCATGCCTCGGAAAGGTGGTCTCTGTGCGTGTTCGGGTGTGTGACACGGGTCCCCAGCTGCGAGTTACATCTCCATTTCTTCTTCTTTTCCCCTCCTTTTTCGTCTCCCACGCCCGTTCCCGGAATGTATTCCTCTGTCCCCCTCTCTCCCGCGTCTGCCCCCCTCCCCACACTCCCGTCCCTTCTCGTCTGTCCCCTTGTTTCGTCCCCAATGTGTCCCCCATTCCGTTTTTCCGGGTCTCCACTATCCCCACCTCCGTTGTTGTTATTTTGGTTGCTTTGTGTTTGCCCTTTGCTCGTTGTGCTTGCCGGATTGTGTGTGGTTTTGTTTTGTGTTTTTGCTTTTTTTGGTTTTGTGGTTTTTTGGTTTGGTTTGTGTCGCCTGCAGCTGCAGAGCAACCTCTTCGCCAGCCTAGACGAAACGCTGCTGGCGCGGGCGGAGGCGCTGGCGGCCGTGGACATCGCGGTGTCCCAGGGCAAGAGCCACCCGTTCAAGCCGGACGCCACGTACCACACGATGAACAGCGTGCCATGCACGTCCACGTCCACCGTGCCGCTGGCGCATCACCACCACCACCACCACCACCACCAGGCGCTGGAGCCCGGCGACCTGCTGGACCACATCTCGTCGCCCTCGCTCGCGCTCATGGCCGGCGCAGGCGGCGCGGGGGCGGCGGGCGGCGGCGGCGGCGCCCACGACGGCCCGGGGGGCGGCGGTGGCCCGGGGGGCGGCGGCGGCCCAGGCGGTGGCGGCCCCGGGGGCGGCGGCGGCGGCGGCGGCCCGGGGGGGGCGGCGGCGGCCCGGGCGGCGGGCTGCTGGGCGGCTCGGCGCACCCGCATCCGCACATGCACGGCCTGGGCCACCTGTCGCACCCCGCGGCGGCGGCCGCCATGAACATGCCGTCGGGGCTGCCGCACCCCGGGCTGGTGGCGGCGGCGGCGCACCACGGCGCGGCGGCGGCGGCGGCGGCGGCCGCGGCCGGGCAGGTGGCGGCGGCGTCGGCGGCGGCGGCCGTGGTGGGCGCGGCGGGCCTGGCGTCCATCTGCGACTCGGACACGGACCCGCGCGAGCTCGAGGCGTTCGCCGAGCGCTTCAAGCAGCGGCGCATCAAGCTGGGCGTGACGCAGGCCGACGTGGGCTCGGCGCTGGCCAACCTCAAGATCCCGGGCGTGGGCTCGCTCAGCCAGAGCACCATCTGCAGGTTCGAGTCGCTCACGCTGTCGCACAACAACATGATCGCGCTCAAGCCCATCCTGCAGGCGTGGCTCGAGGAGGCCGAGGGCGCGCAGCGCGAGAAAATGAACAAGCCCGAGCTCTTCAACGGCGGCGAGAAGAAGCGCAAGCGGACTTCCATCGCCGCGCCCGAGAAGCGCTCCCTCGAGGCCTACTTCGCCGTACAACCCCGGCCCTCGTCCGAGAAGATCGCCGCCATCGCCGAGAAACTGGACCTCAAAAAGAACGTGGTGCGGGTGTGGTTTTGCAACCAGAGACAGAAGCAGAAGCGGATGAAATTCTCCGCCACTTACTGAGGGGGGTGGGAGGTGCCGGGTGGGGCCGAGCGGGAGCTGAAGGGTCTGCTTCCCCCCGGATTTGGAGTGTCCATTACCTGCTTGCATTTGGGGAGTCCCTCCTCCCGCGATCTCCTCCGCCCCCTCTCTGCTCTCCCTGCCCTTACCCTCCCCCAGCCTAGAGGTCTGGGGTGCTGCGTGTGGACACAGGAGAAGATGGCGGGGGAGAAGGGGGGAGCATTTGGGTGAGCGGGCAGTGAGGGGAAGGAAAGCGGAGACTGGAGGAGGGGTTTTGAGGAGCAGGATGGTTCTGGGGGCTAGGGTGGGGGGAGACTCGGGAAGGGTAGGGAAATGAACTGTTTTTGACCAGAGACACTTATCAAAATCTCCTGGGGACCAAGGAACCACGTACAAAAGCAAACCTACCAACCACCAAAAACTAGACAAATAAAGACAAACTAAAACAGAACAGGACAAAAACAAAGAAAAAGTGCTTTAGAAATTTAACTCCGGGGAGCCGTATTCTGCAGCTTCATTCCCCCCTAAGGAAGAGAAAAAAGAGCACCACCATTACTACCACCGCCCCAACCCTACACACACAAACTTAGTCAGAAACCGAAAACCAAACGAACCAGAAATTCTGGGTAGCGAGCTAGTTGTTCTGTCTGTGTGTTTAATTAATTTTCCCTCTAAATCTCACCTCCACCCCGTTCATGTCCTCTTTGATTTATTTTTCTCCGTTCCAATGAGACTCCGATGGCTGCTCTCCATTGCCACAAAGTGAGTGGGGACACAGCTGAAGGGGGCACGGGGGTGGGGGGGCGGTGGCTGCGTGTTTAGGTGGAGTCCAAGTGTTCCAGTGACCGACCTGTACTCCTGTGGCCTGGTCCCCGTTGGGTGGGAGTGTTTAGGGAGAGAGGCACAGTCTTTGAGCTAACTAAAAGGCAGAATTTAGGGCCTCCGAAATAAATATTTTATTCTAGGAAAATAAAACAATTTTAACAAGGTTTTTCTCTTTTCATTTTTGCTGTTATATCTAAGATCTAGAAGATGGACTGTTTCAAAGTAAGCTTTCCCCCACCCATAGAACTTGCTTGCCCTTTGGTTTATTTTTCTGAGTGGTTTATTTGAAACTACCTACTGATTTTTTTTTTTTCCTATGGATTCAAGTAGACTGCTGGGGTGGAAGACACTAGGAAATACTCTGTCCCGTTTTCTCCACAGAGCAAGTTCCATCATGCCCTTCTGGGTCTCCTTTCCTTCTCTCTTGGACAACATGAAATCACTGAAATATTGAGAAGTTTCTGCTTTCAGTTGGAGCAGGGCTTGGCTGTGAGAAAAACCAACTAAATCTCAGATGAAAGGAAGACAGGTTTAAAGGCCTCCGTTTGTTTCAAAAGGGTCTGCATGTTGGGGGGTGGGGGAAGCAGAACAACTGTGTTTCATTATTATTATTATTATTATTATTATTATTATTCAACAGTAATTTATTGCTGGGGACAAATGTTGGGTAGCAAGAACTTTAATTTGCACTATCAGTCTCCCAAATAGAAAATCATGTATAGTATTTCATAGTAATAATCAAGCAACTTTATGAACTGCTGATGAATAAAAAAGTGAGAAAGACAGTTGAAGGTGGTTAGGTAACAGGCCTGCTTGGTGCACAAGATACTCTTTTTAATCTCTTGTGGAGGTGGTTTCTTACCATCTTTTAATAAGAATTAAAAAATTGGAAACAACAAATAAGAAAAGGAAAAAACCTGCCATTTAATAAGACTGAAGTCATGCATGTTCTGAAAGGTGCAGAAAGAAACACAATTAGGTCTCACTCTGGTTAGGCATTATTTATTTAATTACGTTGTATATCATTGTTTGCAGCGCAAACATCCTATGCATTTGAAACTGAGCACTATACTGGGCTAGCTTTCTGATAGACTGTTTTGTGGATAGTGTGATTTCACAGTCTACTGCCTGTTTTCACCGAAAACACAACATTCTTGTCCTATTCTTGTATTTAGAGGAAAAGGAAAAAAGGAAGATTATTGTAAATATTTTCTTTAATGCACACACTCACAGAGTGGTTACAAACTGCCAGTGTTAATCCTGGGACGTCTCACAGATTGATCTACCTGTCCATGTATGTCTGCTGAGCTTTCTTCTAGGTTATGTCCTTGCTCTATTACCTTTCCCCTCCCCACTTCTATCAGAACCATTTCTGTGCGCCAAAATACAACAGGGGGATGTGTCCCAGTACACTTACCAATAAAACATAACTGAAAGAAGAGCAATTTTATGATTTGGGTGCATTTTTGTGTTTTTACTGGGCCAACTCCTAGTAGAGCCGGTCAACAAATGACACTCAATTCAACCAAAAATACAGGGAAGGGGAGGATGTTGAAAGGGGGATGAAAAGAGGGGAAGGGGTGAGAATGATGTATTTTTCTGCTGAATCAGAATTCACTTTCAGATAACTCATGTGAAAAGCGGTGCTCTGAATAAAATGAATTCTATATTAGTTGCCTGTGTTTATCAAAGTTTTGTTTTTCTTTTTAACTGCAGAAACTCTTACACCACAGCCCTTGTTTCAGAGTGGTGGAAGGTAATAAATAACCAGGCACCCTCAAAATATTTAAATTGAGGTTCAGGGACAGAGGCATTTGAAGGTTTATATCTGTGTTGTTCTAACCTAAAAATGTTACTTAAAAATGCGATAATTAATTGACTTTTCTTTGGAGGGTAACAAATATAAAAACCATCCACTGATCTGTCCATGCCTCAGTTCATTTGGAACATTTAGTGTGCCACCTACTGCTCCAGAGGGACCAGAGATTCTCTATTTCTTGGTGGCCTGGGACAAGATCAGATGCCAAATGTACAAAGTTTCTTTATAGCTGGGATTATATCTTCTGAAGTCATTCTATTTTAGCCAGACCTTTTTAATTTCACCGGCAAATCTGTGAAACAAGACACTTGATGTTCAAAAAAGAATAGTACATTTAAAAAGCTGTGATTTTAAACAGTTGTTAATGTTTTAAAAAAAAAGGACTAGAGGTATTTTTTAAAATAGATCTCTTCCATCAAAATTGATTTGTTTCTGTTGCTCTTGATTTGAAATGTCATCAAAGTTTTTAATAAAATGCATTTGTAAAAAAAAACACGTTATTTTATAGAAAAGTATGACCAGATTTCATTACTGGAGAACTGAGAATGCACAAGTAAAAAAGATTTACAAAGGCTGTTTTTTTCTTTAAAAAAAATCTGCCCCAAACAGAAATGTTACAGGCAAATACATTTGTATTATACAATGATGACCAATGTATGTAATAAGAACTTAAGCATTTGTTTTGTATTAAGTAAAATCTTTACCAAATAAAAGAAAATATTATGTTAATAAAACAGATGAGAATACATGCTTTGCAGAGTTTCCTATTTTATATAGTAGGAAACTGTGCAAAACAAGAAATGCTTTGCTTTCCGGTGAGTGGATCTGTGTGCCGCTGGAAGAAATAATAAGACTATTCTAAGACATCTGTAACTGGCAATCCGTGAAGACACAAACAAACAAGCAAACAAATGTCCTCCTGAAGAGAGTGCAAAGTCTTGCCACTCGGCGAGGGGATAGTTGGCCTTTCAAAGTTTTCTGGTTCTGAAGAGCAGAACTTCACTCTAGACGGATTCTGGCACCAGTCAGTGGGTGGAAGTAGTAAAATGTGTGGCTCTGGTACTTTTAAAGAATAATCTCAAAATAAGTTGGAGAGAGTGGGAAAATTGCGTTCCGTTCGCATTTCAACTTCTCAGGAAATCCAGGCGGTGGTGGCGTAGGAAAGGCAAAAGAATAATAAGCAAAATGAACCTGGCACGTTTATGCCATCCATTCGTTTAAAGTTTTTCTTTTCCCCAGTCCCAGCTCCGGGTCCTGCTCCTTCTGTAGGTCTAAGAAATGATGTCCTCAAGACACATCACCTAACTTCTAAACAGATTTTTGTTTAATGCGTGTTCTGAAATTGCTCTCAACTTCGATTACACTCTCATAAATAAACTGTAGCCACCCACTGCCGTGATTGTATCGATTTTTACTTTCTTGTAATATTAAGAGTACCTGGGTCGCGTTCCTACACGTGGCCGCGCCGAAAGAGGACAGGGCGCCCTAACTGCAGGACTCACCGGTCCAGCTCGCACCCTCTGCTCCCTGCCCTGTTGCCCTGGCCTCTTCTGTCAACCCTGCGCGAAGCATCGCAGCTCCATCTTTGACGTAAATGGGCATTCATAGTCTAGTCCGTGAAGTTGGAATTGTGACTTCTGTCCCTGGCTAAAAGCATTCTCCACCCCATTCCATGGCCCTGGTGGCCAGCAGGATGATAAAAGTGAGGACCACAATTATTATCTGGTATGGTTCTGCTTATCGGTGTTATTGCCGCTGCAGTCTTAGCCCCACGATGATAGCCACACGGTCCTCGCGGGCGATTTCAAAGGAGACCGCAAGCTTAATTGATTTTTTAAAAATAGCTGCCGAATTCTAATTCTCACGGGGGGCCTCTTTTCCACCTGCGAGACAAGCCTTGTCGCAATAATTACGTTATTTAATATTTGATCAAACCTTCGCGCCACCGCGGCTGGCGGGGCCGGGCGGGCTCACGCCCTCCGGGGCAGCAGGCGGGCAGCGCGGCCCGAGCCGGGCCGGGAACGTGCGGCGGGGGCGCGCGGCCGCCCCGCTCTGGTTGGCTTGCCTTTTGAATAATTCATGGCCTGAGAGTTCTGAAAATTAATAAAATGAATGATAACAAGAAGCTAATTAAAAACTTTCGTAATTGTTGTCAAGTCCGCTTGACGGGAGACGGGCAGCCCTCCTCCCCCTCCCGGAAAGTTGGTGGATCTGTAGGGCGGGGCGCAGTCCGGGAAGAGCCCCGAAACTGGAGCGGCCGAGCGCTCCTCGGGCTCCGGGAGTTATTTTGGAGGCGGCCTCGTGGGACCGCTTCCTCCCCTCCAGCCGCCGCGGTCTGCAGCTCTTTAGGCTCCCCGGCGTGACTTCGGACTCCGGGGCGGGCGGGTTGGCGGGTCCGTTTCAAACCACCGGCAGAGCAGATTGGGACAGAATTTGAGCCAGGAGGGGACCCACCCTCTCGCGACCCTTGCAGGGTTTTCGCTCATCCCGTTGAAACACCCACCCACCCGCGGCAGGCGCGCGGGGAATCCCAGCGACCCAAGAGCGCGAGCTGCGGCTCAGCAAACGCGGCGCGCCCGGCCTGCGCCCCTCCGCCGCCTGCTCCGAGGCTTCCAGCTGCCGGAGGCCGCAGCTCCTCTCGGACGGCGGGACAGCCACCGGGCAGCTGGCCCGGGCCAGCAATTGCCCAAGCCGCCCAGGACCGGAGCGGGTCAACAGCCCGAGGCCCGGGCGTCCCGCGCGTGCGCAGGGGTGGCCACCAGGGCGCAGACCGCGGGGAGCGCGCCCAGCCCGCACATGCGCGTTGCGTGCGCGGAGTCTCCAAGGAGAGGTGAGGCGGCGTTCCGCAGCTGGTAATTAGGCGCTCCCGGAGGTCCTCTCGCACCCTCTAAGAGCCTTTGAGGACGTCCTGAATGGACCAGTATCTCCCAGAGGTTAAAAATACTCCCTTCCCCACAGTTTGCCTAAGTCAACAGAAACCTTAAAAACCACAAAACTTTCAAAACTGGTTTACGTTGTTGGAAAAGATCTTAGCTTTTGTTTTGTTAAGGGGCGTACCACCAAAGCCTTGCTACGGATTTGAATTTATTACGCAAGGATTTATACCCGGGGCGAGAGGACGGCTGGCTGCTGGGCTTTCGTCCCGGAGAATTCAGTAGAATCCTGGATCGCAAAATGGAGGTTGAAAATCTCGGGTCCGAGAGAAGCTGGCAAGGCACAAGCAGTGAGACTAGCGTGCTGCTCCAGCAAAGCCAGAGGTCGGGCGAAACGCGCCCCAGTCCCATCCTCTGCCCCAAGCCCGAAAGACCCGGAGGTCGCTTCTCTCTGACTTAGAAAGGGAAGAGGACAGGAACAGAAGGGAAACGGAAGGTCTTAAAAGAGAACCTAGAAAGATAAATGGCAAAAGGAGGGATGGAGGAGAAAGAGAGACAGACTCCTTGCGTTGTAGGTAAAACGAATTACAAACAAAAGTTTGTTAACTCTGAAGCCTGGCTTCAGTGCAGCATAGGGTATACAAACTTTTCTAGGCATGGATCAGAAAAAAACCAAAGTGTTGACAATTTCCAGCCGTGGAAATTCACTTACACCAATCTTTTCCCCCACCCCCCTTTCCGCCCCCGCCAAGTGTTGACAATAAACATTTAATGAAGACAGGGACCTGGCTGTCTCCAGTCAGTGTCAGAATACTTTAAGCAGACCATTAACACAGATTCTTCCACTTCAAACATCGCGCGCTACGCTCTAACATTATATATTAAAAACAAAAACAAAAACAAAGTATGAGACAAATAATATGTTTATACGGATGTCTTAAGTGGTCTGCGGTAGTTCTGATGTCCCCTGTACTTATTAACAGAAACTAACTCATTGTAGATTACTCGCGCTTAAAAAATGTTAAATACAGTTAATGCAATATTAATCGCCCTTTGGTGATATAAAATGCAATATTTTCAGGCAGCTTTCGAGCTTTTCTAGAGGAAGAGCTGATGAAAAGAGTCACAGCTGAATAGTGGAGAGAAAAAGCCCGATATTTATTGCTTTTGTTTGGCTTTTGGCTACAGAGACAGGAACCTTCTAATGGGGTAAGGACATTATTTTATCTGCAATCTATTGCTGCGAGAGCAGGGGCGGCAGATGGGGCTGGTGCCATATTCACAGTGTAATTTAGAGCAAATCCTAATAACTAATAATGATTTATGTTAATTTTGATCACTTATGCGACTTTACCAAAGCATTGTGATGAAAGAAAGAGAAAGAGAAGCAGAATGTGACAAGGAGCTCTGAGGCTGAGATTGGAGCTCAACTATCCTGCTTAAAATGTGTTTTATGAGTTAGCAATGGAAATACAGGCATTTTAAAAAAGCAGGTAGGATCCATTTGACTCTGGGCAGCGGTATTTCCCGGGGGCTTGCATTTCTTCTGAAAATGTACCTTATTGTCAATCCTGACGCCTTTGAGTGGGGGACTGACTGTTTCATCCCAGTTTTAAAGAAAACAGATAGGTTTCAATGGTTTCATTTGCTTATATTCAACTGAGTCGTTTTGTGTGTATATGTGTGTGCGCTTGTGTGTGTGTTTGTCTAGGAGGATCAAGTGTATGCAAAGTATGAGCGCGCGCCCGGGTCTTCCCTCCAAAGTAGTCTGAGCCCGAGGAGGTTTGAAACCAGCCTCAGCGCCTCTGAGCAGGCTCTAGCGCACCGCCGCCACGCCTAATGCAAAAGTTTTATTGCTGGCTGCTTAAACAAGTTGCCGTTGCTTAACCTTCACTTCCCATCTGATATTTGTCTAGAATCAACTTTTGGGAAGGTTTGCGGTCTCTACCTCCGGTCCTGCCTCTCCCCCAAGGGATTCCAGGGCTTTGAAATTTAAAAGTGCCTCCTCTCTCCTCATCCCCCTGGTAACGTGGCACGGGTTCAGAACCCCAGGGGCTGCCAACGGGACGTAGTTCTGCACAGGAACAGGCGATTTTCGGCTGCCACGCAGTGCTCTGCAGAGGGTCGGAGGGATTTTGAAAGGGAGGGTGCGCCTTGCTCGTGGCAATTTACTTTTTCGGTTACCTTTTGCGTGTTTTAACGCCTCGAGGCTATAGTTTGAAAGTAAAACAGCATCAAAGCACCTCCTTATTAGCTCTGTATTTGAGAAATCCGAAGATGAAACTACCTAAAAGGTTTAATAGGGCGGAACAGCATTTATTTGCCAAGCAAACAGCCAGAGTACAGTTCAAAAGGGGTGCAGTGCTTTATCAGCAGGAGGCTGGAAGGAGAAGAACGTTGGGCAAAGCGAATTTCAAGCTTCGGTTACGACGTTAAAGTGAATTAAATAAGCTTCAAGTGGGCTGTCTGCTTTGATTTGGAATATCATCTCCCTCGTCAAAAATGTATACATACATAACGTGTATATATTATCTTTATGCGTATGTGTAGCTGCTAGAGGTTTTACCCACCTTTCAGAATCATTGTCAAGACTTTTATTTGTTTGTAAACTTTCAGGTTTTGTAGAGCAAGAATAGTTACCTCTCCAGAAATTTGATCTGCAAATGTGTCGAAGCTATCACATATTTTAAAGTTAAAATGTTCACTATTTTATTGCTCTTTTTCTTAAGACTACAGATGTAAAAAAATGCACTTAATTTCTTCTACTAGGGAAAAACATCAAGCTACATGGTTCAGAACAATTTCTTTCTTAAACATAAGCCTATATTTTGTTTTTGCTTTTGAATCATGTCTATCAGTAACTGTACTGTTATTGTACTGTTAGTATTCCCGGTATAAAGAAGACTTTAAACAAAATAAATCCAGGCAGCTGACGTTGCGTGTTTACTGATAATACTCAGGAGCTGGTGCGTTTTGGGGGCTTGAAGCTGAGCCTCCACGTGCATATCCATATACAAACAGATGTAAGCACAATTTTTACTGTTGTTGTGGAATGTAACTGCGTCTCATTTCTAAACTTTATTCTGGTTCTGTCCTAGTGTTTCAGCACCAGAAGCAAGTCCTTTAAAATTGAAGAGTGGTGCATTATTGAAACTCTCTCTCAAACAGTCTGGGGTGCAGCCTTTCTGAAAACGCCGGCTCTCGATGAGGTCTGACTGTCTGACTGCACATAAGCCCCTAATATGTTAATGGCCGTAGGGGATGCCTAAGGTACTATCTCAAGCTGCTTCGCACACCATATGTCAGGCCGTTAGCCACATGGATCTATTAATCAAAAAGAGCTGGAGAGGGAGGAGAGGGTCTTCGAGACGGGGAGAATGAGAGCGATGGGGGAGGGGGAGAGGGAAAGAGAAAGCATTTTAAACTCCTATCGTTTTCATTTCTTTTGTACACACACAAAAAAAAGAATAAAAATAACTAAAGAAGATTCAACCTATACAGACTCCCATTCTGTCAAGCTAAAGACTGTTCGTAAATCTCTACTAAAAGAATTGCAATAGTATCTGGTTCTATTAAAATAAAAGGAAATTTTACCTGGAGGGTCCTGTTTAGGGTTGCTTTATTGCAGAACTTTTATAAGGAAGACTCTTGATACAAAAAAGTTGTTTTCGTCTTGTAGGTTTTGTAGATGAACTTTATTAAAAGTAGTGGGGGAGGGGTAACGGGGCAAATGTGTATTT